AAAAAAAAAAAAAGCAAGGAAGGAAAGTAAACAGACAGACAAAAGGGCGTAACTACCACAGAACAAGCCGGACATCCTCCGCCACAAAACAGTTGTCAGTTATTTTACTATGGCCACTTCTGATCCAGGAAGTAAAATAACTTAACAAGCAGAAAAATTCCCTGCGCCCCTTTAAAAAGCAAACACGGGTAAGAATTGTGCACCCCGCATTCTATGCTATATCACATCCGCTACCTACGGACACATTGTTCATTGCCTAGTGCAAGAAAAATTTTATCAGTTGAAGGAAATCAACAATCTTTATTTTTTCTGTTTGTTTTTCGTGTTGTGGACCTGTCCCATAGTAACAGTGGTTGGCTTGTTTTAGTTTAAGAAAAAGTTTTACGGCACTTGCAACACAATAAGGTCATATAAGTGCCCAAGATTAGAGGTGTTACAAGAGAGCAACAAACACAAAAAAGAAGGAGGGGAGTTAGAGAGGATAAATTTTTTTACAGGAAAGAAGGAGCAAACCATACCGGAGCAACCGCCAACCACCCACTCACCAGCTGCAGGCTGTTGAAGTTTTTAAATCATTGGTAACAGCAAGTTTTGAAACAAAATAGGCTCTAAACACACACCAGAAGAGACAAAAGATTCAGCTGTTGATCAGGAGAACCCACTAAGAGAAGAGCCTTGAACCCTAGCCAAATGACCAGGGTTCAAAAACTGGTTACCCGTACCATAACCCAGAGTGATAGCAACCGACCAAACGGCAGGATAGGCAACAGAAATAAGGGGGGGGGGGGACCAAAAAAAGAAAAATAAGAAAGCCCAGATAAAGACATGAAAACATACACAAACAATACAACCCAAAACAACAAAAACTTTTTCAAAACTGCAAACAAGAGACTGTACACACAGAAAAAGCACTAACAAAAACAAAAACAAAACAAACAACCCCCTAACAAAACAAAAATATCCTCTCAAACTACAATCAGACAAGGACAAAAGCAGAAGAAGAGGCTTCAATGAACCCTTCATCCTCTCAGAGTGCCACAAAAAAGAAACAAAAAAAACACAAAACGCCATCAGACCCCACAAAGGTTATCAGCCCAGCCCAGGTGCTGGTTCTTCAACAATCATGCTCAAGGCCCACTCCTTTAGGTTCACCTCATTTTTTTTTCCTACTATTTGAGATACCGGTAGCCCCCCCCCCCAAGAAAAAAAATCACACAAAAAAACAAAAAACAACCTACAAAAACAAAATAAAAAATTTTCACTTCATTCAAATTGATTACTTATGCCAATTCACAACACCTCCCCCGCCCAAAAAACAAAAACAAAAAACAAACTTTTCCGTTCATTCACAGACACTTCCCAGGACCACAATCTTGCAAAATAATAATTATATTATATGGCCCACATTTCCACACGACAACAAGCCAGCAGACAAATCAGCCCAAGGGAGACAACCACGAATATCACAATTCTAATCAGCACACAAAGAGTTCTCCTCCCTTGCTCTTTTATTTTTTTAAAGTTATTTTTATTATAGTAGAGCGTTTTACGGCGCTCGCAACTGCATAAGGTCATATGAGCGCCAAGGGGTGGGTGTCAACAGAGAAGTCTTTACAGGGAATCAGACTTAGACTGCTCACCTCTCTAGCTTAAACAGCACAAGGTCTGCTTCGACTATCAAGGCACCCCAAAAATAGCGGGTCACAAGAGAGTGACAAACATACAAAAGAAGTAGAGGAAAATGACAATAGTAAGGATCAGGAAAGAAAAAGCAGCAGTTCCCTGTTGTAGTTTAGGCACAGTTATGAGTGTGACATGAATCAGCCCATTTACAATTCTACTGTGCTTGAACGAGATATGTCCTCCCTTTGGGAATGGCCTAAAGACACTTCAGTCAGTGGCACTGCCAAGGGGGGCTCCCCTGCTCTGTGATCGGACATTATCATTAATGTAAAGAGCACGTTTTTCCTCCAACACAAAATGTCTGACACATTGTCAAACATTTTTAGTTTTAGTTTTAGTAGAGGTTTAACGGCACTCGCAACTGCATAAGGTCATTTGAGCGCCAGATGATTAGAGGAGTTACAAGAGAGTAACAAACATAAAAGAGAAGGAGAGGAGATAAGGACGATAGATGTTTCATAGGAAAGAAGAAGCAAACCACACCAGAGCACCCGCCAACCACCCACGTCAAACATTCTCACAGAGAAAAATGGGACAAAAGAGAAAAATATAAATGGCCACAAACTCTACTGGACTTAATTTCAAAATGCATCCCAAAAAAATTTTATGAATGTCCATTTGAAAGCTGGAAAACCTTACAGACAACCAACCACCTTGAAACTTAGTCTGACCAGAAAAAAGGAAAAAAAAAAACCCAAAATAACAAAATAATTATCGACGGCTAATTTTGTAAAAAGTAGTCGTGATAGTGCCACTAACACATGCAAAAACTTCCGGATTATACGGCATTAAAGCAAAAAGAAATGTGTCTTATTGTGGTGAAATCAAGACATAAAACAAATAAAATCAAAGAAACCCACACTTTCTGTTTGATTTGGCAATTTTTATCAATATTTTAAAATTTTGGCTCAAAACCCTATATGCTCATTTCAAAACAAATTTCTGTGTGGGTTTTACAAAAAAAAAAGTTGATCAAAGTCACGAGGATGGTAAGTCACGAGGATGGAGTTGATCAAAGGCACGAGGACGGTAAATTTACAGTTTCAGAGGACAACAGCTGTTGAAGTGACCAAACTTTGGGAGCCATTTTCTCGCAAATTTAATCTCTGACACCAGGCAGCCCCCATGTTCTTCAATGGCAAATGTGAGGCAGCGCGGTGGAATCAGGCTCTCGTCAAAATAATTAAAGTGAAGAAACTTGCTCTTTTCCGCAGGTTTGTGAATTTTTAACAAATTTTTGTTTTTTTGGCTCAACACATTTCATGCCCATTAAAGAACTCATTTCTGTGTGGATTTTTCTGAAAAACGTTGAATAAAGGCTCAAAAAATGTAAATTTTCAGTTACCACGGACTCTTAAGCTAAGGAAATAACTAATCTTTGGAGGCCATTTTCTCACTAATTTTACTTCTGAAAACAAGAGATCCCCACCTCCTTCTTTCGCAAATATCTCGAATTGTATTCAAGATGAATTGATATTTTTAAAATCCAAATAAAGACAAGTGAACAAGCTTTAAGATGAAACCAATAACTCTACATGCCCAAAAATTTACCAGAGCCTGATTCCACCACGCTGCCTCACAAATATCTTGACTTCTATTCAAGACAGATGGGTATCTTTTTCATCAAAAGGAAGAAAAATAATCAAGCTTTAACACTTACGGCACCGTCGCGGTTCTAAGCCGTAGTATGCGCTCACAACAGCTGGCGACTTTGGTTGCCGACATAACCAGTCACAATAAACATAATTAAACAACAAATGGACCCACTGCGCTGAAGTAAATATAAAAGTCATTCTATATGACGTCACATCTTCTACAGGCAATGGCAGAGAGGGTACCATAGCTGCCCACCCCTCTCTGCGGCTATCAGGGACAGCCTTGCTAAAAATCAGGGACATTGACTAATTATCAGGGACACCTTGCATTTGTCAAGAAAAACTTGCTGCCTTTCGATTTCTTTGCTTTACTTGGTCCATAGTCGGACTTAGAACTCATCGCCCAACGTTTTGAGGCCATCTTTTCAAACGAATGAAGAAGCCGAGCGCCGCGCATGCGTATCAGCTGACTTTGTTGAAACTGCACACCTCCCAACTCTCCCAAATTTTTCGGGAATTACCCGAATTTTCGTCATTTTCCCGAGCAACAGAAGGCTAATTTTTCTGTTTTAGAAGTATGCTTGCCAAATTTTTATTTTCCGGGACCGTCGGTCAAAATCCGTATTTTCCGGGACAACAGCAATTTTTCAAGAAAATCCGTACAAAATACGGATGGCCCGGGACAGTGGGCAGCTATGGGGTACCAGCTACATCACAGACAACCGTCTCTAAAGTGTCAAACCACAAACCTCTAAAGACTTGATTTTTTCGGCAAATGAGCCTTGCTTCTCCTTCAGTTCCCCTTTGAGTTCATCTTGTGACCGCAACAAAAACCTGATGAAGGAGAGAAATAAAATCACGTAACTCTTTAGGACCCATCGTGGAAAATAAGACTGATACATTTTCCAAATCAAATGGGTGGTCATTCAAAAACTGTTGCTCGACAATAAACCCCCAAAACAAGCCAATTTTAAATACCACAACGGTTTTTTATGCTCTAATGGTGCAATGGGATGTAATAAGGTGACTCTTTTTTTTTTGGTCCTAAAACCTTTGTCGAGGTCAATCTGCCAGTTCTTAATGAAATCTGGAGTAGGAATGCACTATAAAAACCAGTTTATAAAAGTACTATACTATTGTTTAACATTTGTGTCCTCTCTCATCACTTAAATGCCATGGTTTGTTTGCTGGCCGGAAAATTTTTCCAGGAATCAAAGGTAAATCTAATACCATCTGTATGACACATGACAAAGTAAAGAAAAAAGAAATGGTGCAGGTATAATGTCCCTTTCAATACTGAAAGTTATTCTCATTTCATCGCTTCATGAAAAAGTTGCGAGTGTTTAACTTTGAGTAAATTGAAGAACATGAAAACAAAACAAGCTATCTTAGTGCTGGGAAGAAAGACAGACTGACAGAGAGAACAGATGGACAGAAGTAAAGAAGTTAGACATTACTAGTTGCATTCTGTAACCACGTACATTCACAGGTCTCATACCGAAGAAATGTGAGAAAAACCAAAAGATGGGGGTTGCAGGGGGGGAGGAGGGGGGGGGGGAGTGTGCCTTTCAAAACAACAGAGAAAAACTCGCTGGAGACAATAACCTATCTATCACTCACAATAACAACAAACAGCAGCTCATATTTGGCTGACAAATTTGTTGAGGATTTGAGGATACATAAATAAACAACGCAAACAAAACCACTGTGGAGATATTGCACAGCGACAGCACTACACTCACAATAAAAAAAAAAGTTTTATAAAAGTTTTATGGCATTTGAAACACAAGGTCATATAAGTGCCGAAGACGAGAGGTCTTACAAGGGAGCAACAAACACAAAATAGAAGGAGGGGAGATAAAGACGATAGATGTTTGATAGGAAAGGAGCAAACCACACTAGAGCGCCCGCCATCCACCCACCAACACCAACACTCACATTCGACCGACAGCTTTGTACAGGCGGACGTCAGAGGGGAGGTTTTTCACTTCCTGTTCCACCAGATGAGAGTGCTGAATCTTACGGGTCAGGTTCTCAATCTGTGAGTTGGAAATCCGAATCTGGTTCTCTGACTGAGCTTTTTTCAAAGAGAGCTCAGCGAATGCCTGGTGACACAATGAGAGTTTAGTTCAGTTTTAGTAAGAGTTTTACGGCACTGGCAACACAATAAGGTCATACAGACTCCAACATAAAGTTGAGGACCACTCGCAAATTTGGCTAAAATTCAACATGGATTACCGTGCTGAACGTTGTGGTTTTGCCTCTTTAGGAAGCTTTGCAGTACGCATTGTTAACCCATTAACACTTTCAGAGCAAAAACTTTGAAACATTCCTTGCTGTCTTTTTTTCATATTTTTAAAAATCAGGGCTGTCTGTCAAGGTGGTCCTTAACTTATGTTGAAGTCTGTTTAAGTGCCAAAGATTAGAAGTGTTACAAGAGAGTAAAAAACATAAAATAGGAGGGGAGATAAAGACGATATGTTTGATAGGAAAGAAGGAGCAAACCACACCAGAGCACCCGCCAACCACCCACTGATACAATGAGAATCGTATAAAAATTTGAGATTTTCTTGTGAAACAAATTTTGATTTGCGACGGTTTTAGTCGCCCCGTGTGTGTGTTCTGTAGCCAAACACAAGGGCGTTAGTACCGTTAAAGCAGATTTGACTATAAATATATTAAATAAAAATATACATGTGAGGCACGGTGGTGGAATCAGGCTCTCGTCAATTTTTGGGCGTGTAGAGTTATTCGTGCGAACTTAAAGCTAGTTCATTTGTCTTTATTTGGATGAAAAAAATATCCATTTATCTTGCATACAAGTCGAGATATTTGCGAAAGAAGGGGGGGGGGGTGGGGTTTCAGAGGTAAAATTAGTGAGAAAATGGCCGCCAAAGATTAGTTATTTCCTTAGCTTAAGAGTCCGTGGTAACTGAAAATGTACACTTTTTGTGCCATTAATCAACGTTTTTCAGAAAAATCCACACAGAAATGAGTTCTTTAATGGGCATGAAAGGTGTTTCAGCCAAAAAACAAAAATTTGATAAAAATTCACAAACCTGCAAATAAATACAGGTGTTTCTTCACTTTGATTATTTTGACGAAAGCCTGATTCCACCACGCTGCCTATTATATATATATATATTTCATCATCTCAAGAAGTTTTTAATTCTAAATAAAAAAGAAAACTCTATTGCCTCGGCTTAGTCTAGTCTTGGCCATTCTATGACCGCTCTATGAAAAGTTTCCACTGGTCTTACAGTTGCAAAGTGTGCAGCTGACGTAAGTTTTGCCCAAGATTCCTTTCCCCACCAAGTAATGTCATGCTTTGAAGCTGAGCGATGAGCGGACATTTTCATTCTGTGCTAGGGGCCTGAGACTGAGACTAAGTCAACTGAGCCTGCTTTAAGTATGCCTCTATTTATCTAAACTGCTATCTGGCAGAACAAATATGTAGAAAAAGACTGGCTTACTGTTTGTCCCTTATGGGAAAAAAGTGATTTTAAAAAGTATCACCAGAGAAGATGGTTTCAGGGAAAGTGCTGTTTTATCAGGACGTCTATAAAGTTGTGAGACACATCTCTTGCCACATCGCTCACATCTGCAGCCTTCTTTTTCATCCAGAGCTTTTTTCAGACACTACTGCTGAGATTTGGTTATCATTGCCGTGAGTGTGTTTGCACTTGCCATGACAAAATGGACACAATTGTCAAGCTGAGCAGTGTCAGACTGAAGCTTTGATGAAATTTCAGACAAGTCTGACAGGATTTCTCCATACCCCCCGCCCTCCCACACGTGTATCTTAAAAATTAAAAAATTAATAATTCCCCTCTTTCTGGAGAACCATACTTCGCGGCGTTCAGACTTTGAATGAACTTTGGTGACCCCGACAACCGGTGCTCACACGATGCCGTATCTAGTTATTAAGTTGAGATACCAACGCTCAGGGTCACTGACCTGCCGTGGTGGCGAACCCGACAAGACGCTTGTATAACTTTCTTTTCTTTTTTTTCCACAAGACACAGCACGTAGGACAAATAGCGATTTATTTTGATGGTGGCACTTTTTTTTCTAAAAACAAAAAAAACAAGGGCACGGCAAAAATTGCTGCGGTTGACTCTTTGATTGTAAGGGCATTACGGCAAATTGCAAAGGCACCAAGGCAAATTGCCGCGGTGCCGCGGTCTATTTCAAGCCCTGCATTGGTGTGCTCAAAATGACACTCCAGAAATCACTAAAAAAAACGAACATTTTTGGCACAAAATTTACAAACTCAAGATTGTAAAGCTGACATGGGGTCTGAAACTGCTAATGCAGGTTCTACATCCTATATTTGACATGTGTATAAGTTTTGGAGGAATAAATACTAATGCATCACATTTTATGCAAACTAATGTGAGATGTGTTTGTTTTTCCCCACGTTTTGGCAATGGCTCATAATACGCTCTGTATCGAATACGTCACCAGCTTTTGCAAGAGCAACAGGTTGCGTGCGATTTTCACATCCCTAATCAAATACACATTTCCGTCCAGTCCCCCAAATCCTTCTTTAATAAACTGGTTATTGGTCACGTTAAAAATATATTTCTGGGTTTTGATAATATCCTATCTTTGTAAATTTTGTGAGAATTCGAGTTGCACAAAGCTACAGCGAGCCCCTGGCACACCTCAGTGATCGGCCCAAACATAGATGACACATTTCCGCAATCTATTTTTGTCGTCTTTCGGGGTTTCCCTCACAATTTGACTAGATATCTAGATCTCACTGTCCGAATGCTTGGGCTGTGTGTGTGCGCGCGCCCTTGTGTGTGTGCGTGTGTTCAACTTTGAGAAGAAGGTAAATTTATGGAACAAGATTTGCTGAGATTGTTTATAAAAGATAACACAAATTAATACAAAAAAACAAACACAACGAGATCATGTCAACAGTACAGTTACTGGCGAGGGAAACCCGAGTCTTGGGGGAAACCCCGGAAGACGACAAAAATAGATGGCGGAAATAGATATCTAAGTCATCTATATTTGGGCAATCACAGAGGTGTGCTAGGTGTTTGCTGTAGCTTCAAGTTCAAGTGTTCGAGTTTGAAGTGCGTAGTTTTTGAGTAGCTGCTCAGAGCTAAAACTTAGTGTTTGTGTTAGCTAGACAAGGCTAGACTGACAAATTTAGAGCTTGAGAGACTTTCCAAATCAAGACTAAGAATGCTAATCAAATGACAAATTCCTCTATCAATAACAGGTTTTTTTTCTAATCTAGGGGTTAGGTTGGAGTAGGCTCATAGTGATACTAGATCTAGATCTAGAACAGATCTAGAGATTCTAGGAGAAGGAATGTCGGAATGTTCACCGCCCGGCATGGATGAGAATGAGAGACTGAACTGTCTGAACACAGCAGTACCAACGAAGCAGAAATGCAGCAAACTCTGTGGTATGGGAGCTGCTGTTTTTCGAATAAAGGGTACTCTTAACATAAGCGACATATTATGCTGACATCAAAGGGAAAAATACAAAACTATTAGCAAAACTTTGTAACCAACGTTTGAGAGTTCAGGATCGATGACTTGACGGGTGGCTGCCATCTTGAATTTTTAGCAAAGGGCGATTACTCGTCCGTCGTTGTCACAATAAAATGTTGATGCATCCAGGAAACGAAGGAAAATCGTTCTTTTTTAATGTAGCAATTTAAATCGACAGTGGTATCCATGACAATTTGTGTATACATGCTCGGAATAAACAGACGGACTTCACTTCGGTTTGGTTAATAGGTTAAGTCATTCCGGAAAAGAAAAGCTACTACGACCTCTGCTTTGTAAGCAGTATAATACTAATAGACACATGAATAAGGAGCCTATATCGTGTGTGCACGTCAATTTAAGGAGTTTATAAAACTCCTTGGTGCACGTATAAAAAGCGTGTTGGGGCCAAAAGGAGTTTAGAATTACTTTTGATTTCCTTGGTTGGGGCCTAATAGGCCTATTATGTATAAACCTACACTCACTATGCAGGCTATGTAAGCTAGCAGAGGCCTATATTATGAAGGTAGGCTTGTCAATTATCTATACATATTATATTAATTGTGAAAGTCCTTCACTTTTGCAGCATAAAAATTTGGAACCACTTAACTTTCGAATTGGTAAAAATAACAAAGATTCAGAACCACTTAAAGGGTGTACAGTTTTACTGAGCAGTCTGAAGTCACTAGTCTAATTTTCAGTTTTTCATTAGTTTCGTTTAGATCTAATCTTGGGAAAGTCCGTCTTCTTAGACGCCATTGTGAACAAGTGAGGTTTCCGTTGCCGTTCACAATGAGTCAATGAGTGCGCACCACAGAATTCTACACTAAGTGTAGAATTCTGTGGTGCGCACTCATTTCACACCTTTGAAATTCTGGAGTGTACTAGATCTACATGTACCACGAAAGCGGAATAGAGAATCAATCCCAAGACAGATGAATACGGTATCTTCTGTCTTGGATCAATCTATGCATCTATTATATATTTGGCAACTTGGAAACACGTGTGTCACTTTCTCTCAAGATTTATTGCTCCATTCCAGTAGAGTATAAATTCATCGAAAGGGGACCCAGCATTATGTATAAACCGGCAGTGGAAGCTCATTATCCAGCTGGCAAAGGCAAAAGACAAAAAAAAAATAGTTCCGATATTTTTGGTTGTCATCCGTTCCGGCTAATCTTTCATAGAGAGGCCTTGTGCGTGCTTCTGTTTGATGTATGTTTTATTTTGTATCTTCTTTATCATCAAGAGCCAGATCTGCGACAGACATCGGCGGTGGGGGTTCTCCGTTCATCTCTTTCCTCGGATTCTCTTTTTAGAAAGCGACATAATAATATATTTTCCTTGTCTTTCTCCGTCACCCATCTATTTAGGCTTTCCATGTATGTTGTTCTGGGTCTATCGCAATGACTTTACAACTTGCCCTCATTTAGCTATCGATCGAGAGCCTTGCTAGATGTTCCAATCTTTTATACTTTATGTCTAGCTAGATGTTCCAATCTTTTATACTTTATGTCTAGCTAGATGTTCCAATCTTTTATACTTTATGTCTAGTTAGATGTTCCAAGCTTTTATACTTTATGTCTAGCTAGATAAATCTTTTATACTTTCTGTCTATTCAATTGTTCTAGAAACTGTATTTGTCTTTTCGTGATTGTTTTTATCAGGGAGCGGGCCACGGGGGCTTCTTCAAGTACAATTTCCTTTGATGTCTTTTCCTTCCAAGAAATCTAAGATCTTGTTTCTTGTTTTCAGCAGTCCCTTATTAAGATCTTGTATTTCACCGTACGCTTTTGATCCCCTGGCAAGAAATGGCAATGGTCTTTCAAATGGGCAGACACAATGGTACCAGGACACAGGACAAAAAGACGCATTAACTTGAGATCTGGAACAAGACAATGGTATCGTGGGAAAATCAGGCGCTCGTCAAATTAATGGAATCGAAGAAACAGGCTTTTTTGGGGGGGGGGGGCAGTTTGGCAATTTAAAAAAATAATTGTTTTTTGGCTCAACACCTTGCACCTCCGTATAAAAACATATTCCCTTGCGAATTTTACTGAAAATGGTGATTAAAGGCACAAAATATGTCTTTTTTTCAGTTTTCAAGGAGATGTATTCATTTATTTGTATTTTATATTTTGTTTGTTTATCTATTTCGAAGTGACTATTCCCAGTGACACTGGGGATAGGTAGGCCTACAGAAACTATTCCCAGTGACAAGGGAACTCTTTTGCATTAAAAAAAAATCAGAAGGTTTTGCACTGTAGCCTTGAAAGGCTCTCTTCTCACTTTAGTCAGTCAGTCAGTTCACTGAGTTCAGTACTTTTGTTCTCTTCTCTTACTTAGGGTTTAGACTTGACCATAAAATACAGATCTAGAACTAGATATAGATCTTGTTTAAGAGAGAAGAATCGGGAAGGATTTCTATCTGTCCTGTACCGTGGTCTCCGAAATCCGTAGCCTGTGTATGTAGATCTAGATCATCTAGATCTACACACGTACATTTAAATTACGACTGAATAACCAGCAAACATAGAATGATCATTCCTTTTTCTAAAAAAAAAAAACAACTCCCCCACTCTCACCAGAATCTACTTTTGTTTAGTTACATATAGATCTACAATCTAGATCTAAATTAGATATAGTCTAGAGATCTAGTATTTAGTAACCCATCACCATGATCATGCTCATTAGGCTAGATCAGTGTGTGAGCAATAGGCTAATTGGCCCGTCTGTTCTCAGTTCTGAGTGTCACTGGGAATAGTTTCTGGGCCTATTCCCAGTGACACTGGGAACAACTCTGCCCTTGGCCCTGTTGCCAGTGGTTTCTGGGCCTATCCTCAGTGTCACTGGGAATAGTATCTGGTCCTATCCCCAGTGTCACTGGGAATAGTTTCTGGGCCTATTCCCAGTGTCACTGATAGTGCTTTCCTTATTATTAATTTTATCGAAGTGACTATTCGGACTCGAGTCCGAATAGGAAAAAAAGTTATTCGGACTCTGATTCTTGTCCGGCATGACATCACTTCCGACTTCCTGTGACTCATGACTCCGGCTTCCTGTCCTGCCTCACTCGTGACTCGCCTCAGGCAGGGAAAAGACCGGGATCACTTCGGGCAAAATGGCATTAAATTGTGCCGGTGTAATAAGCCAAAATCACTCTATACTCTATGCAAGAAACACTACCATAGTCATTTTGGCAACGCTGAAAGCACTATCAGTAGAGTTTATAGCACAGACCTTCACGCTAAAAACACTATTTCCGGCTACGCCAAAGACACTATCCTTGAGCCAAAACCACTCTGTGCAAGAAACACTACCATAGTCATAATATATTGGCAACGCTGAAAGCACTAGTAGTAGCGTTTATAGCACAGACCTTCAGGCTAAATAAACTACTGTCCCGCAAAAAACACTACCATCAGATGTACGTAAAGTACATTCACTACCATCACACAAAATCCACTATCGTTTGTTTTTATAGCATAGGCCTTCACATCAAAAATCATTATTCCTGACTAGATTTCTAGACCTATATCAATGAGTTCACTCTCTTTCAAGCAAAAATTATTATTCAAGTAGATCTATGCTAAAAAAAAACCAACAACCAATAGATCTATCCCGATCAATGATCACGCTAAAAACTACTGTCCCTCAAAAAACACTATATCTAGATCAACGCTCAACCACCGGATGTACGTATGCATGTATTATTCTTAGCCTCAGGCAATATATATTATACAATCACAAAACCCCCACTATTTTCGGCTTCTCACGCCGAATTCCCTACTAGAGAGACTTCAAAAACCACTCATATTATTAAGGATCGTATTGTGAGTAATTTTCAATAATCTATTTTGTGGATGAATCTTGCAGTTGCCATGTTAACGGTAGAGGTGTGCGAGTAACGAGTCCAGACTCGAGTACTCGAGTAATACATGCGGCGAGTCCAGACTCGAGTCACAAGTAAATTACTCGAGTAGGGACTCGAGTAAGGACTCGAGTCCAGACTCGAGTCTGTAGGGGGGAAAAACAGAAAAAAAGGAGAAAAATTTGGTTTTAAAAAAAGTTAAGAATAGATAAAAGAAACATTCTAATAAGCAATTCTTTAAACTGAAGGAAAAGAAACAACAAAAACAAAAAAATCCCTTCCCCCAAAGGTAAAAAACGAACCTCCCCCCCCAGAAAAAAGCAAAAAGCAAACCACTGTTAAAAGCCCACGATGTCCAATCAAAATTCTTTTTTTTATGAAGTGCACTGTCTGAGGTTTACAGTCTGTGTACATTTTATTCTTACTGTTGTAACAGAGAATTGTTGTTTTTTTTTAAATATAAAAATAAGAAAAGATAAGATAATAATAATAATAATAATAAATAGCATTTATACTGCGCATTTCCATTTTCTAAAAGATGCTCAATGCGCATTACAAAGAAAAAGACATCACGTATTAAAAATTAATCGACAAGTGCGTACATAAGACAACGTATTATACATATAATATAAATGCATATGTGTAAAATTTTATATGAGAAAAATAGTCTCGCAGTGAGGTTGAAAATGTGTTCACTAAAAAAAACAATGCAATAAAAATTCACGAGCGGTCACAATAAAGTTGAAACGTGAGTAGGCCTAACTAGAAACATTCATTAAAACATTAATTCTATACAGATAGAAAAACATTTCCATTCTCTCTCTCTCTCTCTCTCTCTCTCTCTCTCTCTCTCTCTCTCTCTCTCTTTCTCTCTCTCTCTCTCTTTCTCTCTCTCATTCTCTCTCTCTCTCTCTCTCCCTCTATCTCTCTCTCTTTCTCTCTCTCTCATTCTCACACGCTATTTTTTCAGTCTCACAGTCTGGCGTACACATGCATATATATATCACAGTACATCATTAAGACAGGTGAATAGAAAATGCTTCAGCTGATTTTTGAAAATGGAAATTGTTGGGGCAGATCTTATTTTATATGGGAGTTCGTTCAATACCTGGGGACCAAAGAATAAAAAGGAACGCTCGCCGTATGTTTTGTAATTTTATTTTGGATAAAGACCACCTCTATTCTAGCTTAGTTGTTATACAGTTGTAAGCTTCTCACTCACCCGGGGTGAGAGAGCGAGCCTTTTGGCTATTCTCTTCCTGTGTGCGTTTACCGTGATACCCAGTGTAAACCACAGAATTCTAGATCTACTTTTAAAAAAAATTGAATTCTGTGGTGTAAACAAACGTTCCAGTTCTCTTGTGTTAAAAACATGCAATTTTATTTGCGGGCATTGAGAGAGAGAAAGAGAGAGAGAGAGAGAGAGAGAGAGAGAGAGAGAGAGAGAGAGAGAGAGAGAGAGAGAGAGAGAGAGAGGGGGGGGGGGGAGTAGCCTAGATATAGCGAGAACTTCTGGGCAAAACAAAATGCCGATTAGGGTAGTTCGGCTCTATTCTAAAAGTGAAATAGCCGTAGCATCTTTGTAGACCGCCAAATTAGTTTTACTTTTGTGTTATAATATCATTTTTTTTTAAAAAGGGGTTTGTCTATTTAATCATCCTCCCCTATAGGAAGTATTCAGAAATTAGGAAAAACCGGTTTTGTTTCACACCGGGTGAGAATAGCCAACGCTGGCAAGTCTCACCCGGGGTGAGCGGTCGATCACATTTTTATTCTCACCTGGGGTGAGAATAGCCACTTCCTAAGATAAAATAAAATAAATACGATATAAACAGCATGTGTCTAGAATTGCCATAAGCCTACTCAAGCTCCCTCCTAGGAAAGCACTTTATTTTCTGTCCGATATTCAACAAAACTTTTTTTGAAACCCACTAAAATTCCCTTTCGGGATACTATTACTCGAGTAATTACTCGAGTCTTAAGAGCCGTGGGACTCGAGTAATTACTCGAGTAATTACTCGAGTCCAGAGCAGATACTCGAGTGTGGACTCGATTCTTAATATGCTGGACTCGCACACCTCTAGTGGCCACAAAAGAAAATGAACCATTTTTGGCATGTTTTTTTTAATCTAAAAAAGTCAAGACATCACAAGCTTTTTCAGTTACATTTAGGCTATCTTATAGACTTATATTTTTGGAGAAAAAATATTTTTAAAAATTAGGTAGAAATAAGATATTAAAAAATCATGTGATATCTTGCTAAGCTTTATTTGGACCACATCTCTGCCAAGTTTAATTTAAATTTAAATCCATTTTTAAACTTCTGACTTTAGCCAAAAATGTACAGAAAAATATGATTCGAGGAAAATGCAATTTTAATTCAAAATTTGTTCTCAGAAGTAGTAAATCACTACCTTTCAAAAGCATTTTGGAATAAATATTTTCTATTTCATGCATAATACTTGGGGAAAATGACACAATAGTGGCTAAACTAAAGGATAAAACAAAAATGTGAAGCTAAACCCTCATTTCAGGTGCCATCTTTTAGTTATAATAGCCCAAGATTGATCTACTGGTCTTAAAAATACTGGGTTAGTGTTTTAAGTACAATGTCTAAACCACGAAAACAACCGCAGTAGTGTTTATTGACGAAGAATGATGATAGTGTTTTTGGCGTGGGTAGTCAATCTGGCGTGTAAGCGGTGTAACACGCTCAGAACACTACCGTGCAATAAAGACTACCGTAGTGGTTTTGGCGTCAGCTTTCATGCCATAACCACTACCGTAGTCTGCCGTAGTGATTTCTGCACATGCTGTAAACACTACCCTAGTGACTTTGGCGTATGCTAAGAACACGATCTCTATGCTAAAAACACTACCGCTTACACGCCAGATTGACTAGGCTACCCACGCCAAAAACACTATCATCATTCTTCGTCAATAAACATACTGCGGTAATTTTTTGTTTTCGTGGTTTAGACATTATACTCAAAACACTATCCCAGTATTTTTAAAACCACTAGATCTAGATCTAGATCTACCTTGGGCTATTATAACTAAGAGATGGCACCTGAAATTAGGGTTTAGCTTCAATTTTTTTGTTTTATCCTTTAGTTTAGCCACTATTGCGTCATTTTCCAAAGTATTACGCCTCAAATAGAATATGATACTTCTTCTAAAAAGCTTTTGAAAGGTAATGATTTACTACTTCTGAGAACATATTTTGAATTAAAATTGCATTTTCCTCGAAATCATATTTTTCTGCACCTTTTTTTGCTAAAGTCAGAAGTTTGAAAATGGATTTAAATTTAAATTAAACTTGGCCGAGATGTGGTCCAAATAAAGCTAAGCAAGATATCACATGCTTTTTGAATATCTTATTTCTACCTAAAGTTATTGATGTTTGTAAGTAAAAAAAAAAATCTAGATTAGATCTAGATCTAGTACTAGTAGATCTACATCTAGATCTAGATCTAAGGCTTTAAAAATTATTCAATGACTAATTTTTAAAAACATTTTTTTTTCTCCAAAAATATAAATCTATAAGATACATGTAACTGTATAAGCTTTTGATGTCTTGACTTTTTTAGATAAAAAAACATGCCAAAAATGGTTCATTTTCCTTTATGGCCACTGTTACCATGGCAACTGAAAGATTCATCCACGAAATACATTTGTAGATGATTGCAAATTGCTCCTATACGATCCTTAATAATATGAGTGGTTTTTGGAGTCTCTATAGAAGTGAATTCGGCGTGAGAAGCCGAAAATAGTGGGGTTTGTGTGATTGTATAATAATAATATGTATTGCCTGAGGCTAAGAATAATATATACGTACATCTGGTGGTTGATCGTTGATCTAGATCTAGATTTTCTAGATCTAGCGATCTAGTGGGGTTTTTTTAGGGACAGTAGTTTATTTAGCGTGATCATTGATTGGGATAGATCTATTGGGGTTTTTTTTAGCATAGATCTACTTGAATAGTAATTTTTGCTTGAAAGAGAGTGAACTCACTGATTTAGATCTAGCGAGAAATAGTGATTTTTGATGTGAAGGCCTATGCTAAACACAAACGATAGTGGATTTTGCGTGATGGTAGTGAATGTACTTTACGTACATCTGATGGTAGTGTTTTTTGCGGGACAGTAGTTTATTTATCGTGAAAGTCTGTGCTATAAACGCTACTACTAGTGCTTTCAGCGTTGCCAATATGACTATGGTAGTGTTTCTTGCATAGAGTGATTATGGCTTATTACACCGGCCATCAGAGCACATTTATTTTCATGACCAGTGTACAAACTGATGAGAATTGAGAATGCTAGAAGATTCTATCGAGTTGAGTTTGCCAGTTTGCTGCACTCAACTGGATTTGGGCATTTTATTTTTGAATTTTTAAGGAAAAAATCTAGTATTAGATCTAGATGTAGTATGGTCTGAAGACTTATAATATTATGGTCTGAAGAATAGTCTCAAATTTTCGGTGCCCCCTCCCTTTTTGAGGGGTTATTTTTCTTCAGAAATTCCTCTACTTCAGCTTCTTCCCACTCCTAGACTTCTCTCTATAAATTTACTATTTTTGTAATTAGGCCTATAACTATTATTATTTATTTCAATTTTGTAATTGTTTGTATAGCACAATGTCTATGAGAGTCTATAGGACCTCTCTCTCTCTCTCTCTCTCTACTGTCTACTACTGTGCTTTTTATCCCATTTACTTTTATTTGACTATTTTTTATCTTTTATTTTGACATTAGTTAAAGTGAAATTTATTTTATAAAGCACCACTCTATTAAATTTTATTCTCTTTCAGATTCTCTATTCATGCGGCAGCAGATGCACAGAGACAACCTGAACCAGACTGAAGTCCATTTTTTTTCCTTCTATTTTTATGAGCTGTATGAAGCAGTCGACTCTACGGTAAGAAATATATATTTAACGTACAGAGTCTTAGTCTAAATATTATATCTATATAATATTATATATATATATATATATATATATATATATATATATATATATATATATATATATATATGTATTATATGATATTATATGATAACTTTTTTGAAAGACTAGCTCATGCTGCTTTTATTAATTTTTTAAAGTTTTTGCCTTCAAATTTTTCACATGATTAATATGATGTGGGAAACTAATATTTTACTCCATAACCCCATGTGTAAATTAAATTTCTATTTTCTTCAACCTCCTATTCCTACATATCTCTCTGTATTGAAAAAAAAATTAATCTTAAAAATGTCCATCTTGCTTGTCATTTTTTAAATCATCGCTTTACTGTAGGCCTACTGTTAAACTTTGTTCGTCAATTAGTGAAAACGGCTTATGTACAGCTCCTTTGACCTTGTTAACCTGCCAGAAGTAAGTCAGTCACGTATAACATGTCTTTAGTATTATTTAAAACATAAAAGTCATGAAAATTAGTGTTGAAAAAGTGCAAAACATGTCGCGAGAGGTGTTACGGTAACTTGCATAATTTTTGCATAATTTGGCTTTTTTTTCTCATAATTTGGCCATCTAAATTCCCATTTATAATTCTACGGGGACAGCCTTACACCCCCATCTACCATTCACTGCCTGTCTCAGTTTTGTACAGTCCATATTGAACTACTGTAATTTACCCCGTTGCACCGTCAATGAACTGGCTGCAAGATACATGCACATTGTATTTTCAAAATTTAGTGTTTTTTGAAAGATACGTAACAGCACCCTCTATCACATGAGATGTACTTCTCTAGACTCTAAAACAAATTTCATTTTAATTTGTTTTTGTTTTTATTGAACTGGTAGAATTTTAGGGCTTACTGCATATGCTGCCCTGAAGCCGAAAGGTCTGTTTAGTTTTGCAAGGCTTTAATTTATATTTGTGAAGTTACAATGTTGATGGGATTGAAGTAGCTGATGGAGAAATAGTTGAACATTTTTTAAATTGTTTTACGGTCTTCTGGGGAAATTGTTGTCTATTTTAGAGCCTAGCTACGTTGAAAATATGGACTTGTTTGAACTGGTTTTCAATAGAGAAAACAAAATGGCCGCTCTTTCTTTTCATTGAAGAGCTGAGGATCAGTCTCATATCATTCATTACGAAAGGAAAACAGGTTTTTGAAATATAAATATGCCACAAAAAAGACATGAACATATGTATATCTTTTATATATAATATATATATATATATATATATATATCTTTTATACTTATGTATTTGGTGATTAGAGTGTATGGTTGACTAGGTTATTTATTCCTGTAGTTAGTGAAATGTATGATTTATTTGTCAATTGAACTTAAAATTCTTTACCTAGATCAGGTCAATAGTCTCTAAAAATCCACCTGCTTTTGAAGCAGACTTTTCCATTCTGATTTGTAAGGTCAACTTTACTTTAACCTGAGCAAGCTTCTAATTTAAGACCTATAGCATAGCGCAGTCAGAAGTTTGTGGCGTAACTTATCCTCAAATATCTCTTAAACAGGAGAATTAGTGTCACCCATGCTTTGTTCAGAAGTTTGTATCAATTTGTTTTTAACTTAATAATAATATTTTCCCACAACAATTGAAGCAAGATTTAAAAACTTTTCTTCATAGATTGTATAAAATACTATAACCTCGCGATCATACACTTTTTGCTTTGGCACTACTAAGGGCTCTCTAAACAAATGCTTTCAAAAATATAAACATAATGTCGCGACTAGAAAAAGATGACCGACTAGCTTTTAAAAGCAAGCAATAATAAGCTGCGATTTTACCCCAATCTGTAGACACCACCCACTAGTGTCATTAAGGAACTTTCGAAAATACAACTGACAGGTGTGTGCAAAAATATAAAATATTGATAAAAGTTGATACCAGTCATAGTGCAAAAGATGGAGAGTATGTTTGATAGTAAAAGGGAAATTCAACAATAAGTTGCGCCATGAATTTTTGACCCCACAATAATAGTACAAGCATTTAATGTTCATGTGTATTACTTATATCCACAAATATATTTTTTCCTGACAGTTCTAACTGAATTTATATATTCTTGATTCACATTACAGAGTGGATTTTGAAAAGTAAGCTATAGCGGGGGCACGCATTGGTGGGGATACTGCCTCTTCGGACACTGCAACACACAAAATGACTACCGGAGTGCTATTTTGAAACTAATTGGTAAGTTCTCTTGTAGTACTTGTACTTGTTGGTATTTTGAACGAGTATAGATTCCAACTTACTGTGTCATTCAATTTCGCTGTAAAAGAGCTCTTTTTTTTTTTTTAGCATTTCGAAATATTTCGTTTCACCGTGTATGCTAATGGAATTGCAGATCTCATGGCGTATTTACAGAGAACAGGAAGCTGGGATTGACTTTCAAGTCTTCATCATCCATTTCTAAGAGTAAGACTATGAAAAATGTTGGTGTTTTTAGCTCATAGCATGTAGGGAATGAGATACAATCTGTGCTAGATTTCCAATGTACAGTTGCAGAATATTGGTATTTTATAAAAGTAGTTCTTAACATTAATCACATGTCATTGTCATATTATGTCATGACTTATTTTTACTCAGAACTTTACCTAATATGCTTGATAAAGGTTACAGAAAATTTGGTTGTCTTATAAATTCTAGAAATTGCTAAAAATCCTGATTGTTTCAAAATTTAAATTTAAATGTACCGTATCATGTGATTTTGATCCACAGAATCAAAAACTTATTATGTCCTTTGTGCTTCAGAATTTATCTAAACCTTTTTGTGTATGATTTTGATCCACAGATGCAGAAATGTACAATGATTCATCCTGGAAAAGGGAGAAAGCCAGACCCTCTGGATGTTCCTGCTACCAACAAGATTTTCATAATCCGTCACTTAGTTGGAGAACAAGGGAACATGAAAAGTATTGATAAGTGGCGAAGTGGTTTCAGAAACTTTTTTTCCGAATTCGTCTTTGACACCAGATTGTGTGGTCAGGTAGTGTGAATGTGTGGTGCAGAAAATACTGACTCTGTAAATGGAAAGTGACATCCTGTGTGAGTTTTTGAGGAGGCCACTGAAACTGAACTCTTGTGTCTTTTTCCCTGGATGCTTGTGGCATGGACGGAACAAGACATATTTTTAACTGCATGTTTAATTATGTTGGGAATAAAAGCTTGACTAACGAAAAAGTTATTGAGATTTAATTCATTTAAGTCCAAAGAGAGGTAGGAAATGGGGGTAGATTTTTTTCCTTTGTGGGTTGAGGAACTAATTTGCAATGATGATGCAGACATTTCAAAAGTCAGAACTTTTGTTTAGTGAATACAACAATTTGTTAAAGAAAAATTCTTAAAAATAAGAAAAATAGTCACTGAGCAGAATCTTTTGTCAAAGAAAATGAACACAAACACAGTTGATTCATCTGATTGGTCTGTGGCAGTACCATTGTCCCATGATTCGGCGCAGTGCGTCACGCTTTGTGGTTTAAACTGCCCCAAAAATCCATGACAATTCTTGTGTTTTATTGCTAAACTGTATCATATTGCACGGAGCATTTATTTACTCAGTTTGGTGTTTATTTTATGCAGTAGATACATTACAGGAGCAAAATGGCAATCATGCTCTACAGAGTCTACAGCATGCTCTGTGCTCTTTACAACTGTCTGTGATCGAATAGTTTATAGTTGCCACATTTGAGAAAAGCTGTCCGTGGGGTTTTATGCACCTCGCATAATTCAGCAAAATTTGATCATTTTTTGGGCATAATTTCAGATTATTTTCCTTTGTCATTCTTTGTTAAAATTAACAGAATCGCATAATTTCAAATTTTTGGGCTCAGTTTGCACAATTTCATTTTTTTTGTGTGTGCACAAAATGACGGGGACAGGAAAAGGAGCACACATGATGATATGTCTGCGATTGGTCTAGCGCCCACTACAGTACCTACATTTCATTCCATCATTTATTCCCGTAACAAGTCTCGCTTCCCCACGAGGAGACGATGTGACGATGTGCTAGACCACGGTCGCTCTTGGTCACTAACTGGTGATCCACACCAAAGTGCATCCTGCTTTCACCCTCCCCTGCACACATGGTATGAGTATGAGTCGGTATGACACACATCATAAAATTGTAAAATGTGTACACGATCAACTTATGCCTACTACTGTTGAACGTCGTTTTGTTTCATTTGTGTATTTTTTTCTTGTTTTCTTGTCCGTAAATATTGGGATTTTGTGGATGGTTGGACCACTGTATTACAGACAGCCGCCTCCCCGGGGCGGTGTCACTGATTGAAATGTCTTTAGCTGTCCCCGTCGTTTTATGCAAGAAAAATTCTGAAATTATGCAAACTGAGCCCAAAAATGTGAAATCATGCGATTCTGTTAATTTGAACAAAAAATGATAAAGGAAAATAATCAGAAATTGTGCCAAAAATGATCAAATTTGGCTAAATTATGCGGGGTGCATAAAACCACGGGGACAGCTGCTTTAGGCCATTCCCAAAAAGGGAGGGGGAGGGCATTTCTCGTTCTAGTGCACAGTAGAATTGTAAATGGGCTGATCTAACAATGTCATGCTCATAACTGAGCCTGGACAACAGGGAACTGCTGCTTTTTCTTTCATAATCCTTACTTTTTTCATTTCCCCCTATTTCTTTTGTATGTTTGTCACACTCTTGTGACCCGCTATTTCCAGGGTGCCTTGATAGTCGAAGCAGACTTTGTGCTGCTGAAGCTAGAGAGGTGAACAGAGTAAGTCTGATTCCCTGTAAGGACTTCTTTGTTGACATCCACCCCTTGGCGCTCATATAATTTTATGCAGTTGCGAGCGCCCTAAAACCTCTACTAAAACAACAAACAAACAGACAGCCGAGCATGTCTGTCCGAATGCCTGTTACTATTATAAAAGAACTTTTAAACTATACATTATAAGAGATCGGATTCTGGGATTTATTAGCTTCTTAAGCCTGCCATAGCTGAAGTCCTGTTGTAACCGAGACTGTCATAAGTTGGGCCTAATGAATGTATCTTCTTTTTCAGGTGTCAGGTCTGGGGCAGACATTGACGATCATCATGGTACCGTGTACTCCATTCCTTCCCGTTGTCTGTCTTCTTGATCACCTCGCTGTTTCTCTTTGTGTTATCTGTTGCAATGTTGTTCGGGCCATCTGTGTATATTATTCTTTGTCTTCCTCTGCTCTTCTTTCCCTCTATCTTTCCACACAGTACAGCAACAGTTTAAGTTTCTAGTCCACTTATTGATTTATTTTTGTGGCCAAAGAATCTCAATTCAAAGTCTTTTTCTGATGGTTCTGATTATAGTCTGATCTTTCACAACCTGCCATTCCTAATATATCATGCTGGACTAAGGAACGGATAGCCCTGGTTCGAATCCCCGACTAGGCGGTCATGAACTTGGTTCGTATTCTTGAGTTTTCAAGGCTTTCAAACTAAAAAGCCTGTCCTGGTTGTAGTTGTAGTGCAAGTAATGGACCCAAGATCCTGGCAGTGGCTACAGCATCATGGCGACAGGGGCAGCTAACAGACCCACAGGGCCAAAGATGGCGCACGCCCCGGCTACCACGGCTATCTTGAAGACGTTCCGCTGGGGATGAACAAGATTTTTTATAAATAAGAGTTTTTAAAAAAAAGAGAAAAAAAGCAGATGAGACCCCCAAAAAATCGAAAGAGTTTTTTTAAAAATCCACCCAAAAACAAACGAACAAACAAAAAAATCCAGCTACATCATCGAATGGTGTACACTAGCACTCGGAAGGATGCAGCGGGATGTTGGATTCTTATACATGTATGCCATCAGTTTCCGATGGTTACCCAGCGTCGTAGCAGTGTCGGACTTTTATCTGTATCGCCATGCTATCGCATGGGATCTGATGGCAATCCAATGTTATTACATGTATTGTCATTACCCCATCCATGCCCCCATCCCAATTTGACCTCCGCACTAGGTCTGATTTCAGTCATCGCCATCATGGGACCGATCCTAAATTCTGAACTTCATCTGTGGTTCGAGGACTCATTTTTCATCAAAAGCAAGGCACATGAACAGGCTCTGTCATTTACGTGTCCACCAATAACTCCTTGGCTAGCTATACCCAAAAAACTGATGAGCGCCTCGTTCCACCGACTCGTGACACAATTATAACCATGAAGTCATATTTGAAGAGAGTTTATTGACTGGCGGCAGGGGCCTCATTTCTACAACTATAAATTATAAACGACAACGTCTTGAAAGCATTCTGAGAGTAATTTCTACTACAGTGGACAATATTGTTTATAGCCGTGGCGAAGCGTCTATATAATCAAATAATCACTGCTTCCCTTCGTAATTTTGAAACATTGCCGCAGTGAAATTCGCCCATAGACGTAAACCTCATGTAAAAAGACGCTCATAATCACCAATGAACAGTATGTCTAACATTCAAAACGGTTTAATTGCCACAGAAATAGCCTGCTCACCCCTATCGTACCACTCCATAAGCAGATGCAAAAGCGAACTATTATTACACTGGTCGAGTCTACCTCACAGATGTGAGGGGAACTAACTCCTAATAATATCTTGACTGCTGCAAGTGCTTGTTTTTTTCCTCGACTTTTTACCGTCCTATAATCAGATCGTGACCTCGATTATGACACCGGCTCCAGGCCGCGAAACGCTAGACAAAAACAGCCAAATGTGAAATTTAAAAAAAAATAATAATTGTCATGTTCTACCAAAGAGTTTAGTCTCGCTGGTATTACATAATACTGTGGTACTGACATCTCTGCTTCGTGTTTGTGTATTCACATCTAAAGATACATTTAATGTTTGCTGGTACAATTATTTAATGAGATACTTTCCCGATTATTTTAGCGGTTGAACAAGCATGCAACATGAATTCAGGATTTGTTTTTATTTTTCATTCGCAACGCAGTGTTGCTGCATCGAATGAGATTCTTGTGTGATATCTCTTGGCCCTATACTGGTCCCATCTGACTTTGATTACCCTGTCAAACAAGTCAGCCTACGCCCCTGGTTTATAGTGAAAACATTCTGAATCTGAGAGTAATTTCTACAACTACTGTTGGCAATGGTAGTATTGTTATTTAGAAAAACATTCACGGGGCTACCAAGAACTTAAAAGGCGAAAAGAAAGAAATAGACTTACCCAGCCTCCAATTGCCTCTACGGCGGTGTTTATGATGGTAGTGATGCCGTTGTACACAAAGTCGAAGGCAGCACGCAGAACCCACAGGCACAACCTGGCTGCAGCCGCCAGAACGTAGAGGAGGAAGAAGAAAGCCACCACTACATGGTATGCCATCTTCTCTGCGCTGGCGCGGAGGACATCCTTCAGAATGCCCCCGATTTCGCTCCAAGACTGTCTGGCGCTCACCTGGGAAGTGTGGAAGATCTAAGAACGTGTGGTTCTCCCAACCATCCCCCCATCCTCGCTCCCTAA